TAGAGTGGTTAGTTAGCGTCTGAAGCACTCTAATCAGGCATCCACACGCAAGAGGGTGGTTACATAAACACTTCAACCGTCATCCAACTCTACACAGTGGGCTGAATGTGCTTGAGGGATACTAGAAACAATCCTCTGTTGGTGAAATAAGTGCTTTTCAAAACATGGAGATAGCCAGAAAGATGATTTGGGCCAGTGGTCGGCAAACTCATTAGTCAACAGAGCCAAATATCAACAGTACAACGATTGAAATTTCTTTTGAGAGCCGAATTTTTTAAACTTAAACTATATAGGTAGGTACATTGTTATTAACTTAATTAGGGTACTCCTAAGGCTTAGGAAGAGCCACACTCAAGGGGCCAAAGAGCCGCATGTGGCTCGTGAGCTGCAGTTTGCCAACCACGAACTTGGGCCCTTGCACGAAGGATGTGCACAAAGCAGACAGGCCAGCTCCCTTGAAGCCTGTGGGGCTTTTTGTGCCCGCCTGCTAATAAATGTTTGTATATTTGCCAGATTTAGGCCTCGGCCATTTTTAATATCCCACCTGTAGGAAGGGACAAATGGCCTCCACTCACCTCTCATCTCCAGTGGCGGCAAATATATGAACCTGACTTTCGAGTTCAATCAATCCCAGGTCGGGGCACGTACGGGAAGCAACTAATCGATGTTTTTCTCTCACATCCATGTTTCTCTCTCTTCTCTCTCTAAAATCTGTAACATCAGCCCTAGCTGGTTTGGCTCAATGGACAGAGTGTCGGCCTGTGGACTGAAGGGTCCCAGGTCCAATTCTGGTCAAAGGCACATGCCCAGGTTGCGGGCTCAATCCCCAGTAGGGGGCATACAGGAGGTAAATGATCAATGATTCTCACACATCATTGATGTTTCTATCTCTCTCTCCTTCTCCCTTCCTCTCTGAAATCAATAAAAATATATTAAAAGGAAAAAAAAGAGAATGTTTCATTCTCTAGCCAATAAAAGAATTTTTTAAAAATCCTATTCTTGGGTGAGGACTAAAAAAGGAAAAGAACTTGACGATTGCCAAAGGGCCACATTGGCCCAGAGCTATTCACAATGAGGGCCCATCCAGGCCTCATCCTCCCCTCAGAAGAGAGAAGGAGGCCCTCAGTTTCAATGACCCAAGTGACCCCTGGACTCTGGGCACATGGTGGCTTTCTTCCTCTCTCTCTGCTGTAGGCCACTTATAAGAAGCTACCACCAAGCGGAACAAGCTGTAGGTGTGGTGGGTACCATTTCTCCAAGGATCCTTATAGGGGCCTGGGGGTCAGAGCCTTCCCAGCAGGCTTCCCAGGCCCCCGGCTCCCCCCGCCTTTCCTGCTCTCCTCCCTCTCCCACTACAGCACCAGCCCAAGATGGCTTTTTCTTTACTTCAGTTTTACAAAGTCCCCCTCAGCTGTGGTAACTCTTTCATAATCCTGCCTTTTTCTCCTGCTCTCAAATTCTCTGACCTGAAGGTAGCTAGGCTGAAGAAATCATTTCTCCCGTTACAACAGGACATACTGAGCCAGGAAGCAAGGAGATGGTTCATTCAAGCTTAGAGCTGGGCACTGAGGGGCGCACTTGGGACAACTTAAAAGTCAGCTACCATAACTGAGGCGGGGAGAAGAGAGGGATGTAGATGTCAGCTGATGTCATTGTCTGGATTTGGCGAGAGGCCACAATTTGACCCTCAGCCTCAGTTCCAGGAAGGGCCATATAGAAAGTGCCATAGGACAGAGAGATCACAGGAAAAAGACACTGACTCAGTCATCCCAACCCTTAATCTCAGGTTTAAGTTGGATACACCAGCCTAAAGGTCATAGGGATTCATTCCTGAGGTGGGGTGGGGTGGGGTGGGGTGGTTCAGGGTGATATAGGAGCCAGGTCTCATTGGAGTCAGAACAGCTGCCTCTGCTGACTGGGGACCAGTGGGGTTGTAGAGAGGACACCAGAAACCCAACCAGAGTTGCAAGAGGTGGGGGAGTTGCTGGCGGCCAGCACGGGGTGGCTGGGGTCAGGCAGAGGAGTCAACATCAGCAAGGGTGGCTGGTGGGACAATCCTGGTTATTAGATGGGAAGCTGCTCTGCCTGTGAGCAGCCCTCACCCCTGGTTATTGCTTACCTGCAACCCCCAAAGAATGCCAGCGTCTAGGGCTGTGGGAGTCACTCTCTCGCTGGAGCAGAGGCGGGGACGAACTCATTTTCTTCTAACCATCCATTCACTCTGGTGAGTATTAGGTGGGAAGTAATAAAAATAAATAGAAGAGCTATAAAACTCAGCTATAAAGAACATTATTGGGCAACTGGGGAAATTAGAATATGTCCTGCATCGAACATGACAGTATTGCATCAGTGTTAAATATTCTAAGTGGGATATTAGGGTGTTCACCCTTGTTCTTAAAAAGGTACATGCTAAATATTCAGGCGTAAACGGTCGAAAAATTGTGTAAAAAAGGGGGATAAAAAAGTTGTATGAAAAAAGGAGATAAAGTTGTGTGCAACTATCAAATGGGTGAGAGACAGAGAGGGAAAGAGAGAGAGAGAGAGTGGTAATAAGTTAATAGTTGGTAAATCTAGGTGAAGAGTATATGGGTAATTTTTTGGTAACTTCTGTAGGTTTGAAATTTTCAAAACAAAAAGTTGGGAGGAAAGTTTGAGGGAAAAAGAATAGCTATCACTTATTGGACAATAATTGGATCCCAAAATGTATGTAATTCTTTTATCTGATTTAATTCAGAGAGAGACATTACCATTCTCGTATTAAAGGTAAGGAACCTGGGTCCAAAAGAGGCTAAGGACCTTGCCCAAGTTTACAGAGCTGGGACTGAAGCAGACCCCAAAGCAGGGGTTATCACACAAAGGACTGTGGTTAGGGGAACTAACCTCTAACACTTTCTTGAGCCTTTCTGTGTGTTAGCAACGTTCTAAAATTGTCTGTGCACATAATGCATTTAATGTTCACAAAGCTATGTTCTTTGTGAAAAATCACTTCCCTGGGGGGAGGGGTGGTGGTGGCCAGGAATGAAGGGTCAATCGCACACATTGATAGAAGTACAGGTTGGTGCAGTCTCTTTTGAGGGTAATTTGGCAGCATCTGCTGGAATTTAAAATTCCCATTGTGTTTAGAGTCAGTAATTCCACTTCCAAGTATTAAACCATAGTCATATATGTGGACCAAGAAGTATGTACAAAGACAGTCATTACAGCAAGATATATGATAGCCAGAGATTAAAAACATCATAAATATCCATCATTAAAAATATTCGGAGGCCATTAAAAATAAGGCATCTTTAATTGTGCTGATGTGTCACACTCAGAGTCAACAATGGTAATGTCAAAGGAAAAAAAGCAAGGGATATTTCCTTAGTGTTGAAAGAAGGATATGAATACATATGCATCTATGAATACATGAATACTTTTGCATGCATAAATATCTTGAAAGGATACACACAAAAACTTCTGACAGCCCTGGCCGGTGTAGTTCAGTGATTAGAGTCAACCTTCATACCAAAGGGTCTCAGGTTCAGTTCTGGTCAAGGGCTCGAGCCTGGGTTGTTGCATGTTCCATCCCTACCCCAGACGCAATCAATGTGTCTCTCTCACATCAGTTTTTTCTCTCCCTCTCTCTTTCCCTCTCCTCCCACTCTTTCTAAAGATCAATGGAAAAAATATCCTCGGGTGAAGATTAATAAAAAAAGATAACAAATTTACAACATTAGTTGTGTTTGGGGAGGAAGGGACAGGGTGGAAGACTTTTCATTGTTAGCCCTTCTGCATTATTTGAAATTTATACTATGTACATGGTTACCAATTCAAAGTGAATGAACGTATGAATGAATGGATCTCCCTTACAAACTGCAGACGACTTGCTTTTGGGCTTCCTTAGGCAATTTCCAGAGTGTTGAAGGGGACAGGAGAGGCCAGCGTCCCAGACTGGAGCTGACCTATATCCCAATCTCCAGGAGCTGTGAATCTATTTGCAGGTTCAGCCCCAGGGGTCCAATTGGCCCAGTTGAACTTTCACCCTTGGCCACCTGAACTACTGGGACCATCTTTTCATAATGTCTGGGCTCTTAAAACTGTGTGTGAGAATCACCTGGGGAACTTGTTAGCTGGGCAATTTCCCAGCTCACCTCCAGAGGTTCAGATTCAAACCTGGGGTGGAGCCAGGGGATCCTTCACCACCATCTGGACTGAGTCTTCTTAAACCTCCTTTGGAGAATCCGGTCCTGGTGGTGTTTGCCTCTGTTCATTCCTTTGGGGAGGAAAGCTTTTACCTCATTCCCACCTACCCTGAAATTGAGTGATCCAAAGCTTCCCCCCACCCCCCACTCCCACACCCCGGTGTAGGATTATACTGGTGAGCTGAGGGACTGTAAGCCCTGGAAGAACAAGGGTGCATGAAGAAACTGCCATAGGCAGTGTCCGGATTGCCTTTCTGCCTTCTGGGCCGGCTCCTTTAAATAAGTAAATACATACACACACACATACATACACACACACATACATACATACGCACGCAGGTAAGTTACCCTGGGCTGCGGTGACTTTCTTTTCTTTCCTTTCCAACTTACAAGTCAGAACATCGGGGGCCCCAGTGGGACAGATTGTTTGCAATGAGACCTTCTGCTTAAACATCCGGGCGATAAAGTTTTTACAGGTCGCCAGACACAGACTGGAGCCTCCTTCGGCGGCGGCGGCGGCGGCGGCGCTCGGGGTCTGGTCTTGCGCCCTTCCTGCGAGGGTCCCACGCTCGCTGGGAGCAGGACATATCCAGGCGCCCTCGCCGCCCCGTGCGGCCGCTAGTGGCGGCCTCCGCGGAGAGCTGGGGAACCGAGATCGGGGAGCCCCCCGCGCACGGGCCCCACCGCCGGGACGAGCGGAGCGGAGCGGAGCGGAGAGGTGGGAGCGGGAGCTGCTGAGGTCATTTCCTGTGCTGGCCGCGGGCCCGAGCCCGGCCGGCGCTCTGCCTTTAAGCCGCGGGCGGGGCGGAGGGAGCGCGGCGGAGCGTTGAATGGGGCGCGGGGAGGTGCGGCTCGCCTCGCCTGCCTAGCCTCGCCTTTGTGCGGCCAGCCTGCGGGCGCCCCTCCAGGCCCCGCCCCGCCCACCCCGACCCCTGCTGCCGAGGAACGGAGACCCGGCGGCCGCGGTGGACGAAAACGACGAAAGGTCAGCGGCGGACGCGCGCGGAGGGCGCCCGGGTGCCGGGTGCGCGGCGGGGTTACCCGCGAGCTCGCGGGAGGTGAGTGGCACCGCGCGCCCCGCGGGCAGGGCTGGGCTGGGGGTGTGCGCCCGCCCGGAGGGGGTTTGGAGGGGAGGACCGGCTGCCTGCGGCCGGAGGGCGACTCTGGAGCAGGTGCCTCTCCACCTGGAACCGAGCTCCCAGCCGCCGGGAGCGCCGGGAGCCGCGCGGGTCAGGCTGGGGAGCCCGCACCGGGAGGCGAGGAGAAGACCTTCTGGGGGAACCGGGATTTGCGACCGGCTGGATCCAGTTGCTCCCGGGAGGGGCCCGCGGAGCGCACTTGCAGGCTCTCCGCAGCGTTGCCTGTGCTCTCGCTCGGTTTCAGCCCTCCCTCTGCCCTCCCCACCTCATCTCGGCTTTTTCTCTTCTGTGATTTCTCGGTGGTTCTCTTAGGGCTCCCAGAGGCAGGTCAGCCGTGCAGGAAAGAAAACAAGTTGGGCGTCAAGTGACACCAGGAGCTTTGTGTCCTACGAGCCTCAGGGAGGAATCGGTCACTAGGGACCAGGGGCCCTCCGTGGGGGGTGGCAGGGGCTTGGGAGTAGAGTCCGCTCCCTGGTGGATCTCTCCCCACCAGGACACCTCCATAAGCTTTTGCTATGAATCCACCTTGTAAAACTCCTCCAGACAGAGAGCCGCACTTCCAGCCGAAACTTCTGCTTGAAAGATCATTTTAATAACAATTTCAGTGGAAAAGTCACTGGTTCGTTCCTTCATCAGACTTTTTGGGACATAGGCGCCAGACACTGTATAGGGTAACATCACTTAACACTTTATAAAGCACCAATCCCAGTGTTTCTACAGGTTATTATCTCCATTTTACAAAAGAGGAAACACCCAGAAAAATTATTTGCCCAAGTTCACGCAACTAAAAAGTGGAAGCCAAACCCAAGCCTCCTAAATTCCAAGGGGTTTGGTCCACTGTCCAGCCACCCTCCCTCCGGTAGGCTGCTGAGGGGGCGGGGGTCTGCTCAGAGCTGGGTTACGGTGGGGTACACCCTGTGCTCCCCAACTCATTAACACTAACAGCTGAGAAAATGTGATGCACCTTCTGCCCTCTCCGGGAATCACCAGCTAAGGGGGGGAAGTTTGTACCTTCCACTCTCCTCCCCTCCTCCCCCTGCGCTCCTCCTCCTGGCCCCTTCTTGTCTCTGTGAGGCTGGCATCGGTGTGCAGAGTCTGTGCTCCTTGTGGGTTGCAGAGCGCCTCATACATGCTGATGGTAGGGTGCCTACCCTCCTGATCCAGGTGACTTCCCAGCAGGCTGGCTGCTGAGCCCTCTCTCCCTTCTGTCAAAAACTAATTCAAAACTGCCCCCCTCCCCTCCTCTGTGGAGAAATGGGCACTTTTTGTTGGCTGGAGTATAAATTAGAATAGCCTCAAAGGAGGGCAATTTGAACGATTTGGCCATTTAAAAATGTAAATTACTTAACCCTGCAATTCCATTTCAGGACTTTATCCTTGAGATAATAGTCTGATGTGTATACTCATTGAATATTCATTGCAGCATTGTTTATTTTAACAAAAGGTTTCAAACAACCAAATATCAGTTAATAAAGAGACTCATAAAAACAGTCAAGCACCACCTAACGATGGGGGTATGTTTTGCTAAATGCAGCAGTTGGCGAGTTTGACGGTTTTCCGACTTCATCGTGAGCGAACATCACGGAGTGCACTTAAACCTAGGTGGTAAGCTTACTGCACACTAGACTATTGCTCCTAGGGTATAAGCCTGGGCAGCATGTGACTATACAAAACATGAGATTAAATCAATCACAAGACAAAGTGAGGCCATTAAGAGATTTTAATAAGTAGAAAGAGTACAGTCTAAAATAACAAGAAGACATATTGTGTAGTAAATACATAAACCGGTAACATAGTTGTTATCATCCAGTATTATGTGCTGTACATGATTGTATGTGCTGTACTTCTCTACGACGGGCAGCGCAGTATGTTTGTTTACATCAGCATCACCACAAACATGTGAGTCACGTGCATTATGACAACAATGACGTACCTAAGCAAAAGGAATTTTTCAGCTCCATTATCTTTTGGGAACCGTTGTATATGCACTTCATCACTGACTGAAGCATTATTTTGTGGCACATAACTGTAAATTAATGTAGTAGCCACACAATACAATAAAACTGTTAAAAAGCATGGAGGGGAAATGGGGCAGAGAGATGTGTATTGATACAGGAAGGTCTCTAGGTTATATTAAATTCAGTGTGCCACCATTGTGTGTGTGTGTGTGTGTGTGTGTGTGTGTGTGTATGCAACATATACATGAATGCTTGTTTATACACTGAATATCTCTGAAAGACACAGAAACCCATAACAGTGGTTGCCTCGGAGTAGATCTATGGATGAAGCACAGGGGTAGGAAGAAATCTTTTCATCATTTACCTTTTGGTTCAGCTTTCAGAAATAAAGAGATAAAGTCATTTTTTGGTGATAACACATCGACGGGCCCCACCTCATATGCCCAGGGCACGGTGGGCTTGCCTTTGTTTGTTGATGGTAGCCATCATTTATTGAGTGCTTACTGTGTGCCAGGCTTTAGTAATATTTCCTTTAGTTCTCAAAAAAAAAAAAAAACCGGCAGAGTGTGGTCTGTGAAATTGCCAACTTCGTATGGTTCAACCTAATATTATTACCTTCTTTTGCAAATATTATTGCCCTCGATTTCAAAATGGAACTGAGGCTCACGGAAGTTGAGCACATGACTTAAGGTCACAGGATTAATTGGTGCTGAGCCAGTATTCAGACAAGGCCTGTTTGGCGCCAGAACACGGGATCTTAATTACGATACTTTGCTGTTTCTCCTCACTGGTTTTGTTTTCAAGAGATGCTACTCCTGGTTGTGCTCGCCCCTTCTTCGGGTATTTAGATCCCAACACTGTAAATGTGATGTAAGCTCAGAGGAAGCTGTACCCTGTGTCCACTCACCCTCCCCCCAGTTCCATCCTCAGAAAGGGGGCACAGAGCTCTTCCTCTCTCATAGTTCGGCAGGTGATCAGTCTGCTTTAGTGGAGCATTTTCAGAAGGTGGTAGTAGCCCATCACTAGCAAGTGGAAATCACAAAAGGTGCTCGCACTCAGGGAGTGCACCATAGTGAGGTGACATGGGAGAGCCCAGTGGGAATTCAGAACAGAGTCCCTGTTACCCTCTGATGCATCGACCTCTGACCTCTTTCTTCTAGGCTCTTGTATTGATTGGCCCCCTTGGCAGAGAAGTTCCAGGTTATTCAGCCTGTAGACCTGAGCCTCGCAAGCCACCAATCTGTATTTATCTTTATAAATTGCACGTAGGAATCACTTAACAAAAGTGGGTTGAGCCTTGGCTGGTTTTTCTCAGTGGTTAGAGCACCAACCCACAGACTAAATGGTCTTGGGTTCGATTCCCAGCCAAGGGCACCAACCTCCGTTGCAGACTCAATCCCCCCCCCTCCTACCCCCAGTCCTGGTTGGGGCGTGTGGAGTCAACCAGTCGATATGTTGTTATTTATCTCTCTCCCCCCTCCTCTCTCCCTTCCACTCTTTCTCTACATCTCTAAAGATCAATGGAAAAAAATATCCTCAGGTGAGGATTTTTTTAAAAAGTTGGTTGAATTAAATTTAATCTCAGCATTTTGTCAATTTCTGATCAGACTCCTAGACTTGCCAGAGCCATCCCAGGTCAAATTTGTTTTCTCTGATGCAGGCCCCAGAGTCTAGGGTCACCTGATAACTAACTCTGGGACCTCTTATCACCACCCAGTCTACCCAAAGCCCCTTCCTCTGAGGCATCTCTCTGTGCCGCCTCTGTGGCTGTGTCAGCCCCGGGTGCTGGAGGACTTAGGGAGTTCCAAGCAGGTGCCAAGCCATGGCAGTCATTTGCCTCTCACCTGCGAAGCAGTTTGGCATGCTGGGCGCTAGTGGGAATCGAGAGAACTGGTTTGATCATTGTAGCTGGGTGGAGGGTACCTGTGGATTTATTGTACTGTTCTCCCTACCTATGTGTGTTTGAAGCTTTCCAGAATAAAAAGGGGGACAAGTGTTGAGCTTGGTTTTGTCCTGATCACATGTCCCTTCTCTCACTCTGCATCTATTTTTGCCATCGATGCTGTATGTGTGTTAGGCCAGCCTGGTAGCATGAGCCTCCATGGCCACTACGGCAGCACCTTCATGGAGAGAGGACGCTCTGTCTGTTGGGAGATCAGGATTCTTGGCCCAGCTCTGATACTGCGTAGCTCTGCGTCTCTGAGCAAGTCACAGAAGTGATGAGTTTTCTCATCTGTTCTCGGGGATATTGAGAGGGTAAGGAGAGAAAGATCGCCGGTGGCAATGCTTTGAGAAGTTAAGGACCGTTCTCTAAGTGCATTGCCGCTCATCCTTGTGCATCTTCATGGGACGTACAAGTGCAAGGTGACTTAGCAGGTGAGATTCAACTTACTGGTATCTTCCCTTCGCATCTCAGGTTTTATAGCTGCTGCTCTGACCACCTGCTGCTGTGGAAAGAGCCTCCAGGCCTTGTGCTAGTCAGAAGGGACCTTGTTCCAGATCTGTTTCGAAATTTCTTAGCTCTCCTCCCTGGTGGAGACAAATCTGGCAGGATGCCAGCCCTCTGGCCGGTACCCCCGAGGCAGGGAGAGGATTAGCAGGCACCTGACTGGTTCAAAACCATGATGTCATGAAGATGCTTGACTGGGGAAAGCATTCCCTTCAGTCTAGGTGTGATCTCGGATGTCAGGGCTGGGCAGAGGCCAATGACGTGTTTCTTTTATTTCCAAAGGCCCTGGAGATTGTGGTCATTTGGGTTTCTACTCTCCCCCATGGAATCGGAGCCACAGCTTTGACAATTAATAAGAGGCAATTAAAATCCACCAACCTCTTTCAGCACCACAAAACAGTTAAGTTTCCCCTGCCCCTTGGTTTTACTTGGGTGCTGATTTCTTTAGCCCTGGGCTAGGTGTAAGACTTTCAGATCCTAGTTTCAGATCTATCAATTTTTTTTTTTTTTTTAATCTAAGGAAAAGCAAAAACTCCCTTAAAGGACAAAGCAAAGCAAGTGCAACGCCTCAGGGCCTTCTCTGGAGGCCCCACAAGTTCTGTTTTGTCTTTTCTGCTGTGATCTTAGCCCAGAAGGTCATGTTTGTTTCTGTCCTTTGTCTTCCTGCCCGTCCCTGTTGGTCCAGTCCTTTGAGGTGGGGATTGCTGGGAGGTCACAATGTCGGGATTGTTTGGGATGACAGTTCCGGCAGAGCAGGGCTGAGATCATACGTCCAGTGTTCTGAGCAACCCAGAACCAACAGCCTTAAGACACCAGACCTGTCAGTGGTTTCATTGTTGGGCCTTTCTCTGCGGATCTATTGACCCTGTTTTCTAAATGAGTAGTCGGGACTCGTGGTAAATGCCTGTGCTTAGGGAGTTTATGGTGTCAGAATAGTTGAGACCATAAACTGGAAAATCTGGAATATAGGCTCATCTCGCGCCAACGATCCTGAAAGATCTTATAAAATATTTCCTTCATCCTTAATAATCCACCCCACTCTTTGTGAGATCAGAATCTCTCCCATTTCCAGATGGGTAAAGAGCACGGTGGCTAAGGACAGGGGCTTTGGAATGAGGATCCAGCTGTGGAACTCTCTGTGTAAGCCAGCCAGGCTCTCGGTTCCTCAGTGTCCTCAGGTGAGACCGTGGACTGGCGCCCACCCCTTAACTCATGGGCTGTGAGGACTGAAGAGTACACGTGCCTGGCATACAGCAAGAACTCAATAAACGATCGCTATTTGTGGTATGTAAGGGCAGAAAAATATAAAAGTCAAATGTGAGGTGGGAATCAGTATTGGTGGTTAACCCATCGAGGACAGGGTCATATTAGGTGACAGTACAGGAGGTGACTGCGTTTTCTGAGGCCATATGGCTCCTGTAGAAAGGGAAAGGGGGGGTTAACAAAATAGTTAACAAAATTTGCATTAGGGAAAATTCCAGGCATTCATTCAAGTAGAGAGACCAGTATAAGGAACCCTCATATACCCATCACTCAACTTCAGAAATTAACATTTTGATGCCCCTGTCTAGTGTGGCTCAGTTGGTTGAGCGTAGTCCTGGGCACTGAGAGGTCACCGGTTCGATTTGCAGTCCGGGAACTTGCCTGGGCTGCAGACTCAATCCCCAAATGGAGGGCATGCAAGAGACAGCTAATTGATGTCTCTTCTCTCCCTGCCCCCCCCCCCCCCCCCCCCCGCTCTCCCCTCCCCCTCCCCTTCCTCTCTCCTCTTCCCTCTCCCTGTCCCTCTCCCTTCTCTTTCTAAAATAAAAAACATTTTTTAAAAAAATTAACATTTTGATAAAATCTTATTTCATGTATCTCCCTCCCCACCACTCTTCACCTCCTCCATGAAGTGTTTTAAAGCAAATCACAGACATTATCATTGTACCTATAAATCATACGTATTTCTAACAGATGACATTTTAAAAATACCAACTTAAAAAAATGAACAATCATTCTTTAAAATGACCTAATACTTGAGTTATCATATGTCAGGGTTTGGGACAGACCAAATTTATGCTTGTTGCCAAACATAACTATTAGTAGCGCTTTAGAGGGTTCTGTGTGTGTGTTTTTAAGTCCTGTGGTGGCTGTGTCTTCCAGCCTTTCTCTCCTCTGTGCTCACCTGTGCCTGTGTCTCCTCTCGTGAGCACACATACATCCTTCATTTTCTCATTCCAGCGCAGTTTATCTTCTCTAAAAGGTGTCCAGGAGACCTCTGGGTAAATTCCCCTGACTGGAGAAATTACAGGTGTCTACTTGATTTGTTCTGAATTCGTATGAAGTGTTTTCCAAAGATTTGTGGCTTTCTCCAGCGGCTGCAGCAAAAATATCTACCATTTTCTGGTCTTCATTTCATAACTTCAAGGAAAGAATGAGAATCTGTTCCAGAGCAGGACATTCAATGACAACTGACAAAATCCCAACTAAATAGAAGACTGTCAGGGAAATTCAAAGCATTACATTTTCTTTCCATGTGTCCCCGTCCGACATCTACATAGCTGTGGTAGAACCAGGACTAACCTGGAAACCAGAGCTTTCCCTTCAGTTAGCTGCATGAACTCAACACCCCCCCCCCCCCACACACACACACCTCATACGCCCCAAGCACAGCCGGCCCCATCTCCATGCTCCTGTTTATCTGTATACTGATGAGCTATGTGACTGCCTTGTAATTTTGCAGTTAGACTTTCTTGAAAAATGCAAATTCGAGAGACCTCTGTTATTTATCTTTGCATCTCCAGTGCTTAGAACAGTGTCGGCACGTACATGTTTGTTGAGTGGCTAAAATCTTGTTACATGGAATTGTTGAATGAAAAACCAACGAGCCCCATGTTTCACTTTTGTAAAAATGACACTAGATTCTCATTGTGGCTTCTCAGGTTGGTTTTGTGATCCCCTGAAGTTGCTCAACTGACTTATGCTGAGATGTGACGCGCTGAGCCAGCGACAGGGGCCATGGGACAGAGGGACAGGGGCTGGCTTACCTCCCCAGCTCTGTTTTCTCCGTCCTCCTCTGGTCTCCTCTCCTCCTTTCCCCACGTAACCCTTCCTCCCACACTTACTTGTCGTTTCCTCTCTCTTCGTGCTGGTTCTCAGGGGTCCCTGAATATCCAGAAGTTGATTCCATCATGGCTGAGCCCAAGGTGGAGACCCGGACCAGCATGGACTGGCAGAAACGCTACCTGGCCCTGGAAACCCAGCTTGTGCGGTTCCGCCTGCAGGCCAGCAAGATAAGGGAGCTGCTTTCTGACAAGGTGAGTTCTGGAGAACAGGGAGCTGCCTACCCTCACTGCAGAGGCCCGTGTCAGAGAGGGCCAGCATTAGAGAGCGAGAGTTGTGGGGGTGATCTTCCTTTTTGGGGGGTTTATTTTATTTATTTATTTTTATTTGAAACATATTTGACATAACATTGTGTAATTTAAGGTGTTCAGCATATTAATTTGACACATTTCTCTATTGTAATATGACTGCCATCATAGTGCTAATTAGAAGCTCTATCACATTATACAACTATCATTTCTTTTCAGTGGTTGGAATAATTAAATTCTAGTCTCGTAACAAGTTTGATGATTATAATACAACTAGAGAACCCAGGCACAAAATTCAGGCACTGGTAGGGTCCCTAGCAGCTGCCTGCTGCTGGCTGCTGGCCGGGTATTCCCTCCCTTCCCCCGGCTGCATGCCACCACTGCCAGGGCCTCCCTCCCCCAACCCCCCCCCCCCCCTTTGCCTGCCGCTACCACCGCTGCCCGCCAGGGCCTCCCTCCCTTCCCCTCGCCAGCCCCGCCCACTGGTCAAACTCCCAGACAACTCCCAGTTGGTCGAAAGGACAATTGGCATACTACACTTTTATTATATAGGATACCGTGGTCTGTATTCACTATTCTGTGCATTTGATCCTTAGGGCTTAGTTACTACTCGTTGCAGGAAGGGGAGCTTTGAATAAGATGTTTTTCACACATGCAAAATGAAACCCACCCAAGGTCGTTGTTGGTTTTAAGACCAAAATCAAAGCAGTGTAGTCAGCTGTCACCTGGCATTCTTCCCTGCTCTGCTGCTTCGCAGGGCACACCAGTGAAGTGACACAGATCTGGGTTCTCCCTCACCCTCTGAGTCACATGTGGCTGCAGTGCAGGTTCTAATATTCCCTTAACATCTCTTCAGTGGTGGGGAGGAGGACGTTTTAGGAGAAAGGACTGTAAATCTCCATCCTACTGCTCACCCTCGAGTAAGCATAGGAGCCGAGGAAGGCAGCTTGCTTTCCTGGTGACAAGGACACAGGCTTTGGGGCCAGTCTTACCCGGCTCGGCCACTTACTAGCCCTGTGACCCTGAGCAAGTCCCTTCACCTCTAAGGCAGGGACCCAGATGCCTACCTGTTGGAGTTCTTTGAGAATTTTATCAGATCACATGTACAAAGGTTCTGGCATAGAATAGGTCTAAATGGGCACAATTATTATCTCTTACAGACTTGGGTGGGCTGGGCTGGGAAAGTGACAACCATTTATAATGTTTCTATGGGAAGATACATTCTAAATGGCTGAGGGTTGGTTTTTTTAATGTTTTTATTGATTTTAGAGAGAGAGGGAGGGGAAAGGAGAGAGAGAGAAACATCTATGAGAGAGAATCATGTATTGACTGTCTCTGGCATGCCCCTTACTGCGGATCAAGCTGGCAACCCATGCATGTATGGGAATCAAACCGGGGACCTCTTGGTACATGGGCCAACACTCAACCAGCTGAGTCACACTGGCCGGGCTAACTGGCTATTTCTTTGGAGCATAACCCATCTAGAGAATAGACACCTGCACTTAAAAATGTATATATATAATCTTAATTGAATCAACCAGTCTCTATAGTTTTGTTTATAGTCTCCATCTGCTTAGCAAACCCTTCTTTCAAAGTACAAAAGTACAATTCATCCACTCCTCTCCAAGTAATGTCAAAGTCTCGATGAGTAAAGCCTCAGTAAGTGACCTGTGTTCAGAATAGGCCTACAACCTGGAGTCCAGGAAGATAAGTTTCAAACTGGACCTTTTCGCTGCTGAGGGGAGTGGCCCTGGACTAGCCAGGACTAGAACTCATGAACCTTGGGCCTGTTGGCACTGCCATCTCGTTCAGGCTTTGCCGAACAGATTGGCAGGGTTCCTACGGATATGGTTCCGGCGCTGCAAATATAAAGGATAGAATCCGCCCCCGCAGGGACCGGGAAGCAGGCATTAGACAGGTGGTTCTCTGGACCACCTGTGCCAGAAACCTGCCGTGTTTTTGAAGCAGATGCATTCCTGGGCCCCACCCCAACCCTCCTGATCCAAGTCTCCTTGTTAATTTGCATCTTTAACAAGCTTCCAGAAATTGGTTTCAACACTGTAAAGCTTGAAAACCTTGCCTTAGGTCACGGTATTGAGAAAGGTGTGTGAGGGAAGGCAAGGATTAGTGGGGATCAGCCCTCGGGTCTAAGCACATCTCAAAGGGAGGAGACTTCCTTTTGGTTATATGGACAATAAATAACCTAAAAAGTGGCCGTTATGAAACACCTAGGCATACTGCATTAAACGTTTAAACTACCCTTCTCAGTTTGAAGTCGTCCACTGGAAAAAGAGGAATCCTCAGCGGGCAGAATGAAGAGGAAAAACCCAACTCTGGCAGCTGAGTGGGATGGGGTGTGTGACTGGGCTCCCTTGAGTTATGAAAGGCTTGAGGCTTGAGTGTTAACATCTGTGAAGATAGAAATGAGGTCTGGCCATTTGGAAGCTGGGCTGACACTGAACCTTCCCTGTAAAGTCAGGACTATTAAAGGGCTTTACCCTAAATGAAAAGGTGGCAGAGAAGACACCCACCCGCGCAGGGAGATGACGATGGCGGAATAGCTTCTCATACTCAGCCAAGGCTCTGGGCCAAAAAAAAAAAAAGTTCCCTGAGAACCTGGTGATACTGTTTTAACATTAGAATTTATACTATCCGTGTGAATTAGGAACCCTTAGTCCTGGGCCAGAGATACCCCTGGGAGACCTTGTAGGAACAGACAAGAACCCCCGGGGCGGGGTGGGGGGGCGGGGGGGAGCCTCAGTAAAGATGAATATATGATCTAAAATAACTAAATATTGAGAGACTAATGTACAGTGAGTGAGAGTCCAAATATACAATAAACAACTGGACTAGACACCCCCACCCCAAGAACTAATAATAATAGAACTGTTGGTAAGATATTGTAAATAAATGAGTTCAAAATATTGAAGACATAATGAAGTAATTGAAGACATGAGACAAGAATAAGACACTACCCAGAAAGATCAGGTAGACTTTACAAAGAATCCAGTAGAACTCCTAGAAGTAAAAACATTTTTCATTGAAATTAAGTGTTCAGTAGGTAGCCCTCACTGGGTATCTCGGTTCGAGGGTCGCCCTGACACACTAAATTTGTGGGTTTGATCCCCGGCTGGGTACATACAGGAATCAACCAATGAGAGAGCGTGGATAAGTGGAGCAGCAGATCGATGTTTCTCTCTCTCTACCTCCTTCCCTCTCTCTCTAAAATTGATGAAAAGAATTTTAAATAAATAAATAAATGTTCAGTGGGTAGGTTAGACACCACTGAAGACAGACTTGATGAATGGAAATAGGGGACTGAGGAAATCTTGCGGAATGCAGCACAGAGAGGTAAAGAAGCAGAGGCTGAGATATGGATGCTAGAATGACAGGATCCTATATAAGATTTCAGAAGTGGGGAAAGGAGTGAAGGAGAGCCAATACTCAAAGAAATAATGGCTTAAAATTCTCCAAACTTGATTCAGGAAACAGAATGAGTGTAAGTGAGAGAAATTTTATTTTAATCCACGCCTGCTGTATTAGCTAGATCGTAGTGTGGCTGCTATAAGAAAGAACCCAAAATAGTAATGGCTTAAACCAGACAGATGCTTATTTCCTTCTGATTTAGTATCTCAGACAGAAGCAGCCTAATTCCAGGGTGGTACCTGCTGCATGTTTGAAGGTGGTTTATCCTGATGTCCACCTAACCCCTTCCTTGTAAGTGCATGACCTGGAGGTTGCATTCATTCCTTCCTTTGTATCCCATTGGCAAAAACTCGGTTACCCAGCTGCAGGGAGATTGGACAGTATAGAGTTTTTCTGGATAACGATGCGCTCTGTTAAGTTGGAAGTTATATAAGAGAAAAGAGAACAGATGGGGAGCAGAACTGGGGAACAGTTAGCAGTCTGTAAGTCTAGAATTTGAGTCTAGAATAATAGTAATAACAAATAGATTATATAACTTTAAAATCAGTTGAGCAGGGAAATGGAATAAAGGAAGTCTATTAAATATAGGCAGGGAGAGGAGAAAAAGAGCACCAAAAAAAGAGGCGTAAATAGCACAAAATGGAAAAGTGGAAATAAATCCAAATATATTGGTCACAAAGAGACATATGAAGATGTGTATTGCATCACTGATGTATGAAAAATTGGAAGTATTATAAATGTCTACCAAAAGGGGATGGTTACACATATTGAGTGTATTTGTACAATGGAATATAATATTGCAGTTCAAAATAAAACAAGTAGAGCTACATGTGTAAGATCAATAAATCTCGAAAACCAACATTGAACAAAAAGTCCAAAGGAACCGTAGACGGTTTGGCTCAGTGAATAGAGTGTTGGCCTGCAGACTGAAAGGTTCCGGGTTTGATTCCTGTCAAGGGCATATGCCCAGGTTGCAGGCTCAATCCTCAGTAGGGGGCGTGCAGAAGGCAGCCGATCAATGATTCTCTCTCATCATTGATGTTTCTATCTCCCTCTCTCCCTCTCCCTCCTCTCTGAAATCAATAAAAATATATATTTTTAAAAGTCCAAAGGATACATATACTCATATGTATACATATACATATACACATACACATACACATACACATACACATACACATACACATATACATATACATACATACTAGAGGCCCAGTGCACGAAAGTCATGCATGGGTAGGGTTCCTAGGTCTGGCTGGTGATCAGGGCCAATTGGGGCCCTCTGGCTGCCGGCTGGGGCCTTCCTTCCCCTAGCTACCAGCTGCCAGCTGGGGCCTTCCTTTGTTCCACGACACCCCCTGGTGGTCAGCACACATCATAGCGAGTGGTCAAACTCCCGGTTGGTTTAATTCCTGAGGGGCCAATTTGCATATTAGCCTTTTATTATATAGGGGATATATATATATATATATATACACAATACAGTTTATGTAAAGTTTTAAAACATGCAGAATGGCAGT